CGCCGTCACTTCTTTCTTTACACCATCGTCTTGATCTTGTGCAATCTCGATGTTTCTGATTCGCAAATCTTCGATACTGTACTGGTAATGCTCAGGCTTGTGTCGCTCTCTACAGAACATGTAGTACGCCAGCCATACAATCAAGACGACAGCCTGAAACAAAACATGTTAGTAACCGTGCGTGTAATTAAAATGTCCATTGTTAAAAGGTTTAAAACTCACCAAAATAATGGCGCAAATGAATCCGACGATAAATGTTGACATTTTCTTTTTAAATTGAGCGTATTTTTATATCAGGCGAGCAAGTCGTGTCGCAAGCGAGGTCAGCTTGGAACAGTCGACGGTCGCTCTCTGCGCCGTTGTCAATTAAAGTCAGTTGCGACTCCTTTAGTATGTGATGTCATTGAGCGCGATTGAACCAGCTTCATTTAGCACAATAGGTCTTATCTCGATACCGCACTAAATTAACGAGCACACGTAACATTTATTTGTATATTTGCAATTTCTATGGGCGTTTGTATCTAAACGCCATCAGATAGAGACTAAAGGTAACTATTATAACTTGTTTATTTTCCTCTTGTCGACGTATATGGACAAAGTTGATTTCAAGGTTGATTTGTAATGATTGTTAAGATGTAAACAATAACTCGTGTTTTTTAAACATATAAAATGTTATATATCTATACTATTATATTAAAGCGTATATTAATTAAAGCGACATTTGCAATTGATAATTTGAGAAATGTAAACAATAAAATAAGGTTTTCATTAATTCATGCGGACAAAGCCGCACGGGAACAGGTAGTATATTGATAAAATAAGAGATTTTAACGTTTTAAACATAATTACATATACAAGAATTATAAGCATGTGAACAATTTACATAAAACCTTAAAAAACGCAATATCTTTTTACAGTGTACCAATATTTAAAGTAATAATATGTTCTTATTAAAACTTAGTAACATGGACAATCAGCTCAATCTAGGCACGAGTTCTATTTGTAATACAACTTTCTTAGTTAAACATTAAAGTCGAAATAATTTACGTTAATAGTCGGCGAATCAGGAAAGAAGTAATTGCTAAAAGAAGCTGCACTTAACTGTTGAAGGACAAATTGAAACAGGATTTATATCAATTACAAAAACATGAAATATCTATACAAGCAATTTAACAATCAAATTAAAACCTGCGGAACTCGCATTTAAAGTGTCTTTTTATTGTTTTGGAGCATCACTGTATTTCTACGAATTTGAAATTATATTTTTTAAGTATGTTTCGAACACTTTTTGAAGTTCGAAGTAACTTTTAAATTATAAACTTAACTATTGCGTAGGTCCTTTGGCATTATAATTTTCACAAATCTATTTCAACTGAACTAACATAACTATATTAGTTGTTGGCTTTTTATTTGTTACCGTAAAGTGAAATTTACTATTAAATTTATTTATTCTGTTGCTTGACTTTGTCCATTTAAATATATAAGAATACAGTAAAAAATATAGCCTATGTAACTCAGTGGGAACGTAGCTTTTTATTAAGGATAGATTTTTTTTTAGAAAACGGCCCAGTAAATTTTGAGATAATAATTGAAATATATAAGAAATTGACAAAGAAAAATACGAATCTTTCTTCCTCAGTATAGATATAAATTCCATGAAAACAGGCGATGGTCATCGAAAGAAATAAAACGTAGATAACATGATACATATAATTAAAATATATTGATATTACATAAATTACATAAAAACAAATTTATTTAAGATTAAAATGCACTTCACCTCCGCGGTTCGTAAACGGGGTCAGCTGTAAAAAACATTACAATTATTACTTAATTTATTGACATTTCAAATCGCGTATAAAAGTATTAGTATAAATTTACTTACAGGATTCAACCACGACAACTGAAATAAAAAGAAAAAAATCATTAACATTTTACTCTAAGTTTAAAAAGAAGAAGATGAACGATAACATCAAAATATTGGCTCTTAAGTTTCTTTATTAAGATTATATATATTACCTTGATCGTCATTGTCGACAATGTTTACTGGAAAGAGAAAAAAATAGTTTGAATTGGTAATATTAATACTTTTTTAAAACCAAAAATTATCATTACATTTGTAGATGTGATAACATGCATTATTTCATTTCCCAATAATAATAAGAAGCACATATTAAAAATAACATAAGACACTAAAAGTAAAAAAAATCTGTCTGTTACGATACCTTGTTCATCTCCACCGATGACATTAACTGAAAATAAAAAGAACAAATATTGATTAAAATAATGGTAGGATATCGTATCAAAAAAGTTATCAAAAACACGTAAAAGTGAAGTTGTTTATATACTGATAATTTATTCGTATTTAAATTAGACGGTTATACACACCTGAGCCTGGGTCTTGGTCAACAACGTCCACTGAAAATTAAAGAAAAGTCTAAACAACGAGTAAATTTGTTTGGACACTATATTGCTATAATAATTTATTTAAATCGATGGGTTCATTTTATTTTAAACTATTTTATTTCTTTGGTAACTTAAGAGAGAAATGTGGAACTAACAAAAGTCGTCAAGTCTGAGTTCTTTATTTATTTTATTTATTTACACTTTGTACACAAGGAAAACAATCACAAAAAAAATACATAAGTATTAAGCGTTGGTTGTACAGGCGAGCATAACTCTAATAGAGTTTTCTTACTGCTAACCGTTTCGATACAAATTAGATGTTTAGCAGGTAATGAATGATGATGTGCAAAGTAAAATAAACACTTAAATAATAAGATTAACAAAAGCATACACTATATTATATTATATTAGCTAGTTCTTGAGAATATTTAATTAAGAATTAAACCAAGTTAAATAAATTTCTACTTTTATCTCTGCTGATTCTGAGACTAATTATAGCAATTTTTCGGGTATTTGAAACTTATGGTATATTATACTAATTGTCTTAACTTATAGTGATAAAAATGTTACCTAAAAGGTATTTATTTTGGTAAGTTATATCTTACCTTGTGGACGCGCTGACACAATAGCGATCAACGCTACGAGAGCCAAAATAACCTGAAAATAATTAGAATCACGTTGTCTTAATTCGTTTTCCTCAAAGTTTAAACAAACAATAATAATAAGTCAGTTCCTTATAGTATACATTCTTTTCCTTTGACCACAAAATAATAAATTAATACGTACTGTAAACTTAGACATATTTTCTTCAAATCTATAAACGCGACTGATCAGATTTATTGTGCTTTCTTGTAATAAATTTTATATACTTGTGACACATTTATTAACAAAATAACATTTGATAACCTCTTTAAACTTTGATAATTCCGACATCTTGCGATAAACCAGTATTTTGGACCGTTTTTAGAAATCATGGAACTCTGTGACCCTAGTCACCGATCGATTTCAAATTAAGACAGAGTATGAACCGACTAGGAATATTATGAACAGTTAGCAATATGTCGTCGTTGTCAGCTGATTCACTCCCACAGACCGTCCATCCTTCCTTAATTTAAGATGACTAATCATCTATTCAACCACGCTGGACAAGTGTGGGTTAACCTAACATATATCTTCGAATTTCGAGTGCTAGTTGTTTCACGAAGTTTTCATTCAAAGTGTTAACTAAACAAATCTTTTCACGATATTCTGTACTCAGAATTAGAGCGGGCGTACACCTTTGACTAAACTATCGGAAAATTGTTGTGCGATTGTAGATTGTTTTGCTGCCAATTCAACTGTTTAGTTGCACAACTAAAAATGGAGAAGCGTGCGCACCTCCATATACTCGTAAGTCCATAGAAATCAAAGCGCGACTAAACAGTTGTGCGATAGTTTAGTATAACTGTGCGCGCGCACTTAACTCTCGAAGTGTGATGACATTCACGTCACCTTTCGACGTTTTTGTCAACCCTTCTTGTCTAGCTGACGAAAAAATAAAAAAAAACCCTGATGAAGTTATTTAAAAAAAAAATTAAACCTACATAAAGGGATTCAAGACTTCTCGTTATTTAATATTTAATGCTTACAAGAACATATCTATCTGCTTAAAATAAAAACAAAGGCGATAACTCTTTCCGCATACAGAAAAAGGTCACGAAGTTATTGCGTTAAATAAATTTCGAGTGATTCTAGGAAATACTATTAAAGTGACATAAACATGATCATGTACTTGAAACGTGAGATTTAAAAATAACTGAAATGTTTAATTACTATAACAAGTCAAGGGCATAAATTGTGACCCTTATAAAGCCATGATAAAAGGCCGTCCGAAATTTTATTTTAAAATTTAAAAAAAACATAAAAAAGTTAGTTTTACTATGGTGTTTTGTTATGATTAGAGAAGAATGGCATGTGGCAAAGGCCTAATAAAACAGATTAATTGAGAGATGTTGTTAAAACATTTTCCCTTGTCCTCCCCATTGTTTACGTTAACTTGTAGATTCACATATTTTGTGATATTGAAAACCTACAGGCGCTTTTCATAATAACAAATTTATTGTAGTAATTTTCTAGATCACTAATTTATTAATTGTTTTTTGTTTTACTGATAAGCAAGTATTGTCGAAGAGTGACGGCTGAGACTCAACGTGGGTGGGTTCTAAATTAAAAAGATCTAATTATGTTTTTTTTAACAATTATCTATTCTGTTGGCAGAAAAATATTTCTTCATAGATATTTACATCATCTACAGCAGTACTTTAGAGTAGTTTCTAAAATAACATTTGCGCAGCGATGTTATGCGGTGATTTCCCAGCAGGTAGTATACGGTTATGAAAACTTGTAGGGCTGTGACTCACGTGTAAACCGGAACAGTGGATCTGTCAGATTGCTCCGGTTTAAACATTAATTCCGTGACATTCTATAAAATCGAACAAAGCCGTGGAAAAATTTAAAATGGAAAAATAACACTGAGTTTTTCTCTGAAGAACAAGGGTTCTCAACAAGTTAACAATGTTATCGATTTAAAATCTAGATTTTTAGGTTATTGGGAAATACATAAGATATAATTAAATACGACCTATACGTTCGCACGACAAAATGCTACAGTTTTAATACCAATAAAACCGATCATAGTCTATAGTTCAGAAATTTACACTTTAAATTAGCTGGTCACAATAAAAAGCAATAAATATGTGCAGTCTTCCAAGTATATGTAGTAGATAAAGCCACATGTATCTCGAGAAATTTTCGTTTACCTTATCTAGTTTACTTTAATCATACGACGTGGCTCTTACAAAGGTTCTCGCAGCAAAATAAGGTAGGACAGAATGAGAACACTGCTATTGCTTGAAAACACGAGCTGTGCCAGACTATTACTATTTAGACAAGTATACTGTCAATAAATTAATAGTTACCTAAGTATAATTATCGTTCAGACTTTAATCCACTCCACCACATCGTATATGTTTATTGACGTCAATGTTCATATGGTAATGTAATTAAAAGAAAAAATACTCATGTCAACATGGCGCAAAGTACCGCCCATCGACTTTAAATACATACAACTAATGTATTGAACGTTTGTTTGTATTTGAAAATTCACTACTGATTTCTTTAAACAATACTCTTTACAAATGGATATCGAAGGACATTAGATTAGTCTGGTTTAAAAGTTAACCTGTGTTAACTATAAACGTAGATATAAATTTGTTGACAACATACAACAATGGAACGATTACAAGGATGTTAGATTGCATTAAATCGTGTCATTATCACGTACGGGCTAAAATCAAACATCAACATCGACTTCAGGAGTCATTTAGCGTGTAATAGTTTAGTAAAATAATCCGTCAGACGTCGACCAAAGTGTGCAGTGTTTGCACAAATCCAGCCAGTTTGCTGACCAATTCGTACCTTGTTTTCCTACGTGCCTATATAAGAGGTGACGTGATGTGATCAATTCAGTATCGGAAGATCTTGTCAACAACTGCACGTAAGTAGATATACACAATTTTAACTGGTTCACAATTTTAATAATGATTTTAAAATAGCACGTTTCCATTAGTAAGATCAACTACGAGTAATTGTTGTTTTAAACTGCATCATTCCAGAGAATATATCTGTGTCAAATTTCGTCCAAATACGTTAAGCCGATTTGGAGTTACCTGCTAATAAACATCCATCCATCCATTCATCTAAAATTTCGCATCATACTAAGATTATAAATGCGAAAGTTTAGATAGATGGATGGCGGATGAATGGATGAAGGTTTGTTAGAGTTATAGCCAAAACGGATACCGATGAAATTTGGCATAGATGTAGAACAAAGTTTTTTTTTCAATTCCACGCTGATGAAGTCCTGGGAAAAATATAGTTTACAATATTAATAAAGTAAATACTTACAAACAAAACAAAATCAACTTCTTGGTCATCCAGTTTAAGAGCAGTAGTGCGTATTAAATAGCACTCAATTTGGAATTTAAATGTATTTGATTTCATGCAGATTTAAGGTTCAACATCCTCTCATTCATTTTAGTAAAAACTTTTTAATAATCGAGTATTTTTCCAATCTTTTTCAGAATGAAAACTATCGTCCTGCTTTGTACGCTCGCCGCAGCAGCGTATGCCGCGCCAGCTGATACCTACAATGCACAGTACGACAACTTTAATGCTCAAGAGCTCGTAGAAAACTCTAGATTACTCAAGAACTATGGACGTTGCTTCCTAAGCAAGGGTCCTTGCACAGCGGAGGGATCAGATTTCAAAAGTAAGTTTGTGTTATCTTTCCGGGATATGTAAAGTACAGCTAGCTGTATAGACATGTATGCTCCAGAAACTTGTACAAAAATTGGGTGACAGTGCCTACTAACTGAGGGTCAATACCAAAAGTATTGCTATCTCTGATTTTTCCAAGATTGAGAAAGAGACAAACGATGTATTTTCAAATATTATGTCACCAAGTTGTCTTGTTAACAATTTATTTAACGACATCCTTATTGTGAACTTAACGTTTTATTTTCAAAAGTTAACAAGGAAGCGGAACACGCTTGTTTCAATATAAAGAACAAGATATTGTTGACTCGAAAATAAAACTTCTGATTTTTATTATCTGTGAATCAGTTTAATAAATAAATAACAGTACAAAGTTCGTTGAAAGACAGCATAATAGATACTAAGTACTATAAGTAATTGCTCTTTTGACTTCAGTATAGACAATGTATTCCCGGAATAATTTAATCTTGTTTATTCTCTTCTGACGTAATTTATGGCATATATAACCGTGAGTTTCTATTGACGAAATACAAATATGAAATCTACCGACAAACCACTCACTTGATTTGAAAATAGATACAAGTACGTTTTTAATGTACTTTGCCCATGGAAACCTTACCTTAAATTTTAAAATATTATTTTCACCAGAAACAATTCCGGAGGCCTTGAGGACAAGCTGCGCGAAATGCACTCCTAAACAAAGGGAGCTTGTTAGAACTGTAGTTCACGGATTCCAGACCAAGTTGCCAGAGATCTGGACGGAGCTGGTCCAACAAGAGGACCCTAAGGGAAAGTACAAAGAGGCTTTCAATCGCTTCCTTCAGTCGTCGGATTAAACCAAATACCACCAGACCATTGATAGCTAAAATGTGATAATTTTTATGCAAATATCACTGATGTACCTTGATTTAATTTAATAACGAATTAATTTTAATTATTTACAAAATTAAATATATTAAATTGTTTTATAATTACTGTTTTTTTACTTCGTAACATTTATTAAACTCTCCATTTTGAGATGGGAAATATGGAACAAGGTTTTAATTTTCCTAAATTGAGTAAATGGCTAAAAAACATAAAACATTTAAGATTTATAAAAATGAAATCAACAACGTCGCTACTTTAACGTTGCTGTAATATCTATCTACCAGTTGTCTTACATACAGTATTTAGTTTACTTTAGACCAGTTTTACAAGACTGTTTGACCTATTAATAAACCTTAATATTGTTTAATAACATTGAAAGTCGTCAAGCAACTTTGTAATTGAGGGTTATTAATGAAAATATATTATTAAAATAGAATTAGTCTGAAATATTATACCCAGTTTATATTAACAGATTTGTAAACTTAGCTACTAATTATACTATACGAACTACGTTTCAGTAGGTCAAAAATTAACACATGTATTTTTATAAAAAGACGTCAAGTAAATTTTTGTTCATAATAAACATGCAAGTTTGTTCTGTAGAATTAACATGACAACTATTTTGCAAAGTATATTATTACAGTAAACTAGTTATGGCACGCGACTCCGTACCTGCGTCGTCTAAAAAACCTTATTTAGTATTCTATGTGTAAGTTCAGAACATGTTCGATACTTTTCATCCAAATCCATGCAGCCGTTCTAGAGGTACCTTGTGACAAACATCCATCCATAAATCCAAACTTTTGCATTTAAAATATTGCAGAGATAGTAAGAAGAAAGATATAAAGGAGAGAAGTATATTAACATGAAAAAATATACTCGTAATACGGAAACACCGACGCCTTTTATTAGACTTCCACGACATTAGCAGTTAAGTATATTTGCTCATACTTTTTAAAAGGCGCTCGGGGAATTCTGAAAAAATGATTTATCTATTGACACTGTAATTTCGAATTGATTTGATTTGATTTAGTTTATTATGATAATAAGGTAAAATGTCATTCAATAAACTACATTCATAAAAGAATAACTGTGCCTCAATTATTTTACAGTTTTCGATTTGATTTGAATACGCCATAAGATTGATATGCACTAACACAAAAGTATTTAAACACAATAAAAAACCTAACTGATATAAGAAAACATATGCTAATTCATAGCTGTACTACCAGATACTAAATACCGCCAGTTTTATAATTAGTGTTAATAAAAAGAACTACAAATGTTTAAATCAAAAATTGTGTAAAGTTAAAACAATCTATACTAATATACAAAAGCGGTAAACACACATTACTTCGTGGCGTAGGATATCAGCATTCACAGCATGGTTTTGAATAATTCATTCTGTAATAAAAATCGCTACACTTAGGACATGTTTTAGGCTATACATTTTTACACCATTAAACTCAGGGGAAAATAAATTGGATGAGAACCTTCATGTGGGAAAGGGACTATAAACTACAAGCTGCCAACATTAAGGAAGCAAGGTTATTATGGTAACGGGAATTTTGACATTTGCAAATGAGAATTTTTACAAATGTAAACAATAAAGTTAAGTTTTTATAATTTCACGCCGATAAAGCCGCACGAGAACAGCTAGTATCTTATGTTTGATTGTACATGTTTGTGATATGTATATCCATACATTGTAAGGAAACGTATTATTATTCTATTCCTACATTGTACGTAAATTTACTAATAAAATAAAGAATGCTATATCTTGATTCATTTAAATTCATCGCTCACTATGATTTTCAATTACTCAGAATTTTTGTATAAACATAAACGGTATCCATTATCCAAATGTAATTCACTTGATACTGGATATATTTATATATTTCTCTGAATGCAAAAAAGTGATTGCATCACCGCATCAGAGCTTTAAGGTACAAAAGACGACCTCGAGATTTTAGCACATTAAATTTATCTTGATCCTAATTCTAAAGCAGATTATAATCAAAATTTGCACAAGATTTTAACGTAACCGATAAATTATGAATTTTATTATTCATTGTCATCATCATACTAATATTATAAATACGAACATTTAGATGGATGGATCCATTATTGTTAGAGTTTGTAGCCTAAACGGCTGAACAAATTTAGAGGATAGTTTGGAAGAACACATAAGCGACTGACTTTTGTTTTCACTTTAACTTCCACGCGTACGGAGTCGGGGGCGACAGCTAGTAAGCTTATATTAATCAAAATGCGACTAAACTATTATACGATAGTTTAGTTTCAGGAATACCCACGTTCTCACGACGAAGGAAAATAAGTATTTTTAAACAATTAATATAATTGTAACTAGCGATGTTAATATAAACACTCCACTAGAGAACTCGTCAGGAATGCGCGCAAATCATCCATCCTTCTAATGACATTGACAGCTGTCAGCTAGGGACATGACGGTTATACCGACAATCTAGTGTTGCGCCAATTCTACCGCACGGTACTAATTTTCTTCTTAACAGTATTAAAATGTTAAGTCTTTCAGGTTTTCATCTAATTCCACCTAAACTGGGGAAGTTGACAATCTCTCGGTAACATAAACATCAAAATGCATTCAGTACAATAGTTGCAATTAGCGCATTACAAAATCTTTTTGCAGTTACAATTTTTATACATAGGTGGTAAAAACTTAGGTTCTTTATAAAAAGCGTTTTAATAAACGTCTAGAGGATTCGACAATCTATTCATAGGATGATTGACGTAACCTATCATTGCTAGCTATTAATTAAGTACCTCGATCCTTGAACTATTCGAAATATTAAAGCTGTGTTTAGCTTTTAAACATTATTATTAACGAAGAGACGATATCATTATTTTTAAAAAATGTCCCAAAATAACTGTTAAATTCTACTACGATCTATCACGAAAATTTGGAAGAAAGTAATTATCTTTAAAATACATCTTACCAATGATTCTTAAAACAAAAACAAATAGCTTATATATTATTTCAGACTATGCTCTTCATCTTCATCTATGGTTTATTTTGGTTTAGCGTCATACTCTAACAAACATCCATCCATATAAATTATCGCATTTATAATATTAGTAGATACGAAATGAGTAAGTTTGAGAATAGCCCTAGTGGTAGAGAAAGTAAGGAGTAAAAGACTAGCATGGCATGCGCATGTTATGGAAATACGAATCGCATGTTACTAGGAGAACGTTAGTTATGAGTGTGGACGGGTACACATACCTAGAAAGAGATGGATGGATTGCGTGAAAGGTGACATGATCAAAAAGGGAGTGATGACTGAGATGACGTATGATAGAGTTATTTGGAGGACAAAAACCTGTTGTGCTGACCCTACGGGAGTAGAATAAGGAGGATGATGATGATGTTGATTTATAATATTAGTAAGATACAGTAAGATGTATGTAAGTATTCAGTCAAGTGAAAGACAGAATCATTATCGTCATTAAGATCAGCTAAAAGTAGTTTAAGCTTTAACTCATCACTATCCCACAGTCATCTTAGTAAAGGTGAAATTGGATGTAAGAATTTCGTTAAATCAATATTTAACAAATAAGATTAAATAAACTCGCAAACTTGCAACAACAGAAATATTACAAGTAATGTTAAATCACAATATGTTTTCCATCTAAATTCGAAGGTTGAATGTTTTGTTGAAGTCTAAAAATTCTTTAGTCAACGTTGCTAATTGCTAATATCATAAGAAGTTTTCAATAGTCGTAATAAAATTTACCATTTTACACACAAAGAAATGACACAGCGTATCGCGTTATGTAATAAAATCGCAAGTCATCCAGCGTAGAATAAATGGCCACCATAGATAGCAACACAGACATGTTTTGAAAAGAGATATCCTAAAAAAGATATTTAAAAAATAAATATATATAAAATATCTAATCCAATTTGATATTTTTAGAAACTACTTTATACGGTTGCGTTTTAAATTATTAAGTATGGGCATTGTAAATTTTTCTTGTAAATACGGACATTACGCCGAAACCAATCGAATTAGGAAAGCGTTGACATGAATACAAATATTAATAAAAATGGGTTCGAAAACTGCACTGTATACTACACAAGATAAGATATGCAAAAGTTATTAGGGCTTCCAACATATTGCACTTTTTTATTTCAATCAGACTTATTAATTTCTCCATCAAATTCGTTTTATTTCAAACTACAAGAGTCAGTCCTACCAAATTCTTGTAAATTGACTGATAACAAGCTATAACGTGGTGCAAATATCGGATTTTGTTACCTTACCGTGACGTAGTTTTTAAACTATCTGAGCCGCTATCAGACAGTGGTGGGACAGGACCTAAACATTTTTAAATGATTGATAATGTGGCTTTAAAATGTAAAATTATTATTGGTGTAAAGGTGAGAGTGTTATATTTAAAAGATAAATTACTTAAGTAAACATTACAAAGTGTAATGTACTCTATATTGATATGATAGGAACCCTTGTTTTAATATTGATAAGTTTATTACTGTTATATCTGTCCATAGGTCAGTCTATCTATGTCTAAGTGCATCAAGGAAAATAAAATAAGCTTAACTGAAATAAAAAACTTTAATAATTCATGTCACAGGTTGTTTTATTCATTTAAATACGCGGTTATTTTATTAAAGAACCTCAGAGAAAAAACGATTGAATCGTCAAGGCACGGACTGCAAAAGACTACGTCATCCATAGATTTGGCATGTGTGTATGTAAAAAAGTCTATTGAATGCAGGACTATAAAAGTATTTGCAACTTGAAATCATCATCAGTTGAGTTCACAATTCATGTAAGTTATATAGGATATTTATTACAATAATATTAATTTATTTATGTCAATATTTATTTATAGAATACTGTTGTTGGATGGAGCAAATTAAAAAAAAATCACTTGTTATGATTTAAGACTACAAAGCCGTTTGTATAATTTAGCTTTTAACTTTGATTCGAGTCTACTAATTCCTTACAAGATTTGTTGATTTTTTTGTATTGGATCTGTTTGAAATATATCTTACTTCTTACTAATAATATAAATGCGAAAGTTTAGATGGATGGATGGATTTTTGTTAAAGTTTGTAGTCAAATCGGCTGAAGGGGTTTCGATGAAATTTGGTATAGATGTAGAAGATAGTCTGGAAGAAGACATAGGCTATTCAATTTTGTTTTTTTTATTTACCGCGGACGGAGTCGCAGACGAAAGCTAGTAAAGAATAAACGTTAATTAACTTGTTTGTAATTTCCACTTTCGAAATATATTTTACAAGTGCAAGCTATGTATTAACTTTATGCATTGGGGAACTAGAATTATGTATGGTCTTTACGTATTTTATTCATTTCCAGATAAAATCCACCTCCAATATGAAGACGATCGTGGCACTTACAGTGTTGGTGGGCTTGGCCACCACTTATGCGTACAGTACGGAACACGACGACCTGGACATCGCAGCGATTGTCGCTGATAAGAATGAACTGCAAAAATTCATCGATTGCTTCACCGAAAAAGCTCCTTGCACCAAACTGACACAAGATTTTAAATGTAAGTTTATTTCTATCTTATTTATATTATAAATGCGAAAGTTTAAATGGATGGATGTTTGTTAGACATTGTAGCCTAAAGGGATGAACGGATCTTTTTTTTTATAATATAAGGTGGCAAACGAGCAAGCGGTCACCTGAATCCACCGAAATGGAAAGCGACCGCTGCTCATATACATCCGCAATTGCAGATGCGTTGCCTACCCTTCATTGACGGAGGTGGAAACGCACGTAAAGATGTCATTTCTGTTCATATGCGTCTCCTCCACTGTCAAATCCACTTTTCCTTCCCATCCTTTCCTCTTAAAAATATGGTGGAAAGGGAAAGGGACTAAAATTAGGCCTCCGGCACCACACTCATCATACGAAACGCGGAAAAGCGGGCTCTACCACTGTTTCATTCTTGATCTAGATGAAATCTGCATAGATATAGAGCATAGTCTGGAAGAACACACTGAAGGAGTCGCGAGCGAAAGCTAGTAGGACATATTTTATTGTATAATCTATGGAATTCATAATGTAGGACTAGCTTTCATACCACACGAAAATTATAATCTATTTTGTATATCTACTACAGTGAGGGTTCGACAACCACGATTTTGTCTTGGCGCAGATTGAGATGTGCTGATCACTTAATAGTTCTCTCCTCGTTTGCTAGTACAATAAAAAAATACATCTTTAGTACTGATTTCATCGTTTTATCAATGAGTATATCAGATATGAACTGCTACAAAAGTGATAGGGTTAAGAAGAGAGTACCAATCTCAGAGTGGCGACTAAAATAACTAGTGATAGATAAATCTGGAGGAAGAAATCTGATGCACGTCATCATTAGATGAAGTGGAACAAGAACAATGCGGTTATAACAATATTATCTTCTTACAGCCAAGCTGCCCGAAGTCGTGCGCGAAGCCTGTGAAAAGTGTAATCCAACTCAGAAGAAGAAGTTGAAAATATTCCTCGACGGCTTGAACGAGAACTTCCCTGAGGAATACAACGCTCTCAAGAAACAGTTCGACCCCACTGGCAAACTTTTCGAGGCCCTAGACGCAGCTCTGGCTAAAGCTTGAATAATCAAATGTTAATGAACCTTTTTTTAACAATAAAATATATTTTATTTAATTCTTGAATCGATTTTGTAGTTTCTGTATCTATTTGCCATATTTCATGACATTTTAAAAATAACTAAAATTTTAACACTACTCCAACTCACTTTAACGAATAACTGCGAGGAAATAAAATAATATTATGATAATATTCTATTCTGTTATAAATAACGTCCAGTCCGGTTATAATAACGAAGTAACGGCCCGAGCCGAGACTCCTGAGGGAGCCCTTGAGCTTAGTTACTCATAAACGAGGTTTAGGCTGAGCGCCATCTGCGTTCGGCCACCTCAAGCTCGGTGGAGTTGTAAAATCTTCAAGGCAAACAGTGACAAATCAAAAAAAAAAGTAAAAAAAAGTATCAAAGTTTATTACGATTCTTATTTAGAATAGGCTAAGTGCTCGCAAATAATATTTACCTGTTTATAAAGAAGTTTCATCATCTTTTGTCGAATTTAGTTAAATGCAGTAAATAGAAGGCGATTGTTTTCGATAGATTATTGTTTACCACGAAGACTGGCGAACCTCCAATATTCAATAACCTTCAAGCATTAGTCAATCTCTCGGACACACAAAATAGTTTTTTTAAATAAAATAAAACTTATGTTGCGTGAAAAAATGTTAATATAGCTCAACTTAGATTTAAGTTAGTAGTTTTTAACTAGATGGCGCTGTTATCAATGTGTTTTATATAAAAAAGCCGAAGATAAAAACAGCCATAGGCGCCAAAGTAAAAAATTCTATGTGGTTCATTATATTATTTACTTATCCAACATAACTTTATCTTAAAAAGCATAATCAATTCTGTATGTAGGTATATTAAAATTTACTGGCGTTACATTCTATTACATGTGTTATTACTAAGACATGCTTAAATATTTATGGAACGAAGGAACTATAACAATGCAACAAAAAGCATATCCTACAACATAAGTAATGAACAGAAATCGCGACTAAAATCATTTAAATGCGGGATGAAATATCAAAATAATGACAACCACATTAAATACTTGTAACAAAAAGTCTCACTCAAGTTGGTTGTAGATATAAAAACAGAGCGAGTCGTGAGAATTTTCACTATACAAACAACCTTGTTCGAATGCACAATTTTTGATCTCAGCATTTTAAAACGTGTTGTGTGTAAACGTGGACTCACGTAAGTTGAATAATACTTTAAAATAGTGCCTTTAATGTAAATATAAATTGCAATAAACGTATTAACAAATATCTAGGTATTAAATTAACATAGATATAACTAGTTTCGATTATTGTAAGTCTAGAACATTCTGTAATCATCTCCCCCACCTTATCCTACTCCCTACCTACCTCCCTACTAGAACATTCTATAATGTTAAATTATAATTATATTTGTTACAATGGATATTGCGTTATCATTATTTAGGTATAACGCTTCATGAATTAATATAAAGATATGTTGTTATTAATAATTAATTATTGTTATTAGAATTGTAATCGACATAACTGTCTTGCGATAAATGTTGTTTGGTTTGTGCGAAGCTAACAGACTCCATTCTTATCCTTCAATTCTCTTTCACAAAGAGAGATAACAACACGGTACATTTGTTGTGACTTAAATAATATTTACTTACGATAAATTACATTTTTAATTACTTTAAGAATCTTTTAGACTTTAATAAGGCAAAGGCACTCGTTGTGAATGGTGTTTTAGATTTAAATTATACTGGTTTTCAATTATTTTCCAGAATCTTCGTGCGAATTAAATATGAAGTGCATATTGTTGTTGCCGATTTTGATGGCGGTCGTCGCAGCCGAGACTTATAGTACAGAGAATGATAATCTCGATATTGAGGCGGTTGTTCGAGATTTGCCTACATTAATATCCTTCTTAGATTGCTTTAATGATAAGAAACCGTGCGACGAAGTACAAGCTGATTTTAAAAGTAAGTTTTTTGTTTCATTCCAGTATTAAAAACTCTATGGCTAAACATAAGTGAATATATTTTAACGTTAATTAGTAACTAATCACTAATTTCGTTTAAAGGAATATATTTTCTAGGATTTAGCTTTAAGTTATATAGATTATAATACTAGATTTCGCCCGCGACTTCGTCAGCGTGCAATTATATAAATTAAAAGTGAGTAGCCTATGTGTTTTTCCAGACTATCCTCTACATCTGTGCCAAATTTCATTGAAATCCATCCAGCCGTTTAGGCTTAAAATTCTAACAAATTCACCCATCCATCCATCCATCCATCTAAACTTTCGCATTTCTAATATTGGTTAGATTAGATAAAAGAAAACCTCTGTATGCGTTCAGTAAAACCGTAACAAGACTGTTTTTTTTTTATTTTCCTTGAATTTAAACAGTTAATATTATACATATACACATTTACTTCAACAATTACCAGAACAGACGTACATCCGCCGGAATGGTACTTAAATATAAAACCTGTTAAATTAATTGTTCAACTCGCTGAAAGTGGTATTTAAAACTAACCAATTTTGGATATAAGTTAGAATGATTTTGGGTACGAATAAATGTATTTTTATTTAGTATTACAGTTTTGATTACTTTAAAGATTGTCTACGTGATATTGCTTAGAGCTTAGATGTTTTGTTATTATAAAACAAAACAAGAAACCAATCTAGCAGTGACGATTTAGAGGTCATTGTACGCTTGATATTAAGGTAACTTACAGCCAAAACACACTTTCTTTTTTATTTGTAACTAGCTGTTCCCGTGCGACTTCATTCGCATGAAATTATGAAAATTGTTTTATTGATTACATTTGTCAAATTCAATTGAAAATGTCAAAATGAAAGTATACGAATTACTTAACAGTGATACACCTTCAGCTGGATTACACATTTTTTTTAAATATTAGATATTGTTAAATATCTGTAAAAACCCCCGTCGCATTACAGTAATCACTAATATTGTTTTTTTTTAACTTGTTACTTATTTTACAGATGACATGCCTGAGGCGTTCGAAAACGCGTGTGCTAAGTGCACGGCAGCACAGAAACACATCTTTAAGCGATTCCTAGAGGAATGCGAAAAGAAAGCACCTGAAGACCTCAAGGCCCTTAAGAAAAAATACGACCCAGATTCTAAGCATTACGCTAAACTTGTAGCTGCCATTTCAAAGTCTTAAAGCTACGTGAAACTAAAGAAATCGATTTAAAAAAAAAACAATATCATAATAATAAACGTATCATAGAATAGTACACATAATAACAATCTTTTTTCTTGTTTTATAAAACCCTTCATCATCTTAATTTAAGGACGGCATCGTTGATGCAAACTGCACATATGTTTGTGCAAAGACATTCAAAGATATTTGTACAGTCAATCAACCTTACATATGGCCTAATGGGCGTGTAGTGTAGGCTCCCATTCCCTCAGTGGTGTTCCTCCGATCCTCCCTCGTAGAGTTTAAGACGACAATTTTGAATTTCCATAGAGTCAATTTTGGACACAAATGTTTCAGCAATAAAATCAATCATACGATAATGATTACAAACATTAAGTTACATCGGCTTTGTTTTGTTTCATTAATTGTAATTAGTGGTCTGTGAATCAGGCAACTTCTATTGTCAACAGCCAGACCATAAATGTTTTAGTTTTATTACAAACACATTACAATGACAATTGTGACTCATCATCGTGCTTACTTAAAGTCTGTTACTTCATAAGTAACTAGCTGTTCCCATGCGGCTTCATCCGCATGAAATTATAAATTTATTGTTTGCATTTGTCAAATTCTCAATTGCAAATGTCAAAATACCAATTACCTTATTATGGCAATCTTGCTTCCGTGATGAATGGCAGCAACTTATGGTCTTGTTCCCACATTAAAGTTTTCGTACAAAATATTTACCCCCTAAATTTAATGGCGTTAAAATATATAGCCTAAAGCGTGACGTAAGTATAGGGCTTTATATTAAAAAATAATTATTCAAAAATATGCTGTAATTGCTGACATCTAAGGCAACAAAGTGTGTGTTTACGCTTTATTATAGATTGAAATTTAAAATATACTAAATCTCTGACGTCAGACAGGCGGTCGACCGTAAAAATGATGCAAAAACATTAAGGTTTATCAAACCTTGGTCGCCGAATCCACGTGAATGGCAGAAGGCTATGGATATGAAGACGTTGATTATCATCACGACGTGAGTTGTACATCGGGTTACGTCAAGAGTATGCGTTCTAACGGTGCAAGAAAGCTTGTTTGCCACCTTTTAACTACATAGACTAAAGCCTAAACCTAAAGATCATTATGACCCTCTCATCGCAGTCTATGTGGGGGCGCATGAGGTTAACGTTCTCTAGGTTCGGACTATATCCATTCCTTGTTTCAGTCATTATTGTCTTCCTAATGATAGCGTAACCTATTGGTGTATTATAGATAGAATAAGAATTTCCATTTAACATAGAGAGTCTCTTTAGATTATACATTAAAATCTGTATGCATACATTAAGATAATTTGTCAGATATTTTAAGTATTTAAATAAATAATTAGATCATAATGAATGTTTTTGCATCCTCATGTGTCCTCTTCATATATTTCGAAGGTTACGTGTGGGTAACTGTTCTAAGGTATTAAATACGATGTTATAGAACGGCAAAGTCATTTGTGTGGATCTATTCAAAGGATATTTTAATAGAATATCAATCAACAGTTAGTATGCAAGTGGTTGTGCTTGTGTTCGTCGTGTTATTTCCTTTGTTTGTTTCCTCTGAGGATAAATATTATGATCGGAGATACGACTACTACGATTTGGATAATTTGTTTCAAAATCCACGATTATTGACGAAGTATATCAATTGTTTTTTAGATAAAGGACCTTGTACACCGGTAGGAAGGGTGTTTAAATGTAAGTTTAAATTGATGTACTTAAAATACAGTGGAGTAACTTAATTAATCTTTTGAATAATTTATAATTAATTAATCGGATTGTATTATTTAATGTTCATTATTAAAATAACCTATTGTGCTTTTTAAATCTCTTATTTAATTAGCGTCGACCGCATCGTGGGATGGGTGGGATCGTGGTAAAATATAAAAAAAAATGTTATTGAATGATAATCGATCATTAATTCATGATTGACTTTACGAAAATTAACCTGAAAAGTAGTAAATCATAAATTATATACAGGGATTAAAAAATCTCGATTAATCACTAAAAAATCATGATTCATGAACAATTAGTTGCTAATGACTTTTCGCACAAACTTCACCTTCACAATTATTATTATCTGCATATAATAAAATTAAAATTCCCAAGGATATAATAATAATGGCTCAAAGACAAAACCACAATCTATGTTTTAAATATTTTTATTAGATAATACTTATATTTTTTGATACTGGTACGTATGTAAAACTGGCGAGATAAACTGGCAGGTTAAGGCAATTCTAGTACGTCGTGTAAGGAACTATGATGAAAGTTTCTTTAATTTTGGGTTTTGGGAGCAGCGCAATGAAATAACGACACGATACAGTATTAACCTGGTCCGTGTCTTACGAAATGTTCAACAAATATATTGGTACATTATGTTCCAATATCATATTGTAACAATGTTTAATAGTATTTATGTTTAAAACTCCATCGTTGTTGTCAATGACAAGTGAATCTTGATTGTCAATGGAAATAAATTTATTTTTATGCATTAATTTAATTGAGATCAATAATAATCAATCAATAACTTTATATTTCCCATTGTTATTTTTATTTATCTATACTATTATAATAAAGCGTAAACACACAATTCTTTGTTGCCTAAGATGTCAGCAATTACAGCATATTTTTGAATAATTCATTTTTTAATCAAAAGCCCTACACTTCCGTCACGCTTTAGGCTATATATTTTAACGCCATTAAACTTATGGGGTAAATATTTTGGATAAAAATACTAATGTGGGAAAGAGATCATAAGTTGCTGCCAACATCAAGGAAACAAGGTTGTCATCATGTCATGTCATTTTGACATTTGTAATTGATAATTTGACAAATGTAAAATTTTCATAACTTCATGCGGATGAAGTCGCACAGGAACAGCTAGTTTTGTAATAAACATCGATATAATTAAAAAATACAAACGTCGACGTAAAAACCATTTGATTGTTTGTAAGAAAATACTTAAGTACTCAATCAACGTTTAATGGATCTATTCAATTATTTGGCTGTTTTTTTTTGTATAATTTACTTAACATGTGGTTTTAGTGATATTACCTGAAGTGGTGACGTCGGCTTGTGCGAAGTGTTCGCCGTCTCAAAGACGCCTGGCGCGCAATACATTCGAAGCCTTTGACAAATATTTACCTGACAGTCGAGATGAACTCAAACGGAAACTTGATCCTCAAAATATGTATTTCGAAAGATTCCTCGAAGCAATTTCTACAGCTTAAGTTTGCAGTATAGCTATAAGTAAGTGTAATATTTTTTAATGAATAGTAATACCGGCATAAGGGTAGGGTTAAAGTGGTGCGACCTTCCAGGACGCCTAGCAAAAGGGATATAGAGGCGCCACAGGCTAAATCTTGGGTGCCGGTAATGCTCAAACAGACTTTGGCTGTTAGTGTGATCCTATCGTTTTTCAAGTTACCGATGAATAACGATGTAGATATCTATACTAATATAATAAGCGTAAACACACACTACTTTGTGCCGTAGGTTCTCAGCAATCACAGCTTGTTATTCAATAATTCTTACTTTAATAAAAAGCCCTACACTCACGACACGCTTTAGGCTGAATATTTTCACACTTTTAAACTCAGGTGGTAAATAAATAGAGAAAGGGACCATAAACTAAAAGCTGCCAACATTAAAGAAGCTAGGTTATTGTATTACGGTAATGGTAATTTTGACATTTGCAATCGAGAATTTGACAAATGTAAACAAAAAATAAAGTTTTTATAATTTCACGTGGATGAAGCCGCACGTGAACAGCTAGTAATTGAATAAACTTAATCCGAGTAGAGTAGGAACTAATACCATGAAGTCGGCATAAGGACAAAGTTAATATATGAAGACAAGAGATGATTATGAAGTAGCAAATTTCAATATACTAAGGACTTAGAAATAAAAAAGCTGTGAAGTTTTGAATGGAATGGATAAACTGAATCCATTCCATTCATAACTTTCTTACTCTTACACATCGTACCGATTGAAACAAATTATAGTTAAACAGGGATTTTTAAAACATTAGTCGAAATTTATCAATGCTTACATTAAATTAGTTAACCTCATATATTTCACGATACTTAACTTGTCTGTAAATTTTCACAAAATGATCTGTAATTCAAATCCATGTGTATCGAATTTTGCAGTCCTCTTTTTTACTTTAAACTGAGCTTTTATTATATAAATTGTTTATGTCAAAGGCCTCTGTGCAAAATAAACAACGGTTATGTAATAAACTTGTAATATTTCAAAGCTCTGCTCGTTCCACTTCACGGTAAATAACACTTTTCAAGGATTTTTTTTACTAGTTCATTGGTTTTATTCCAAAAGAAGGGATAAGTTTTTTCATCACCAATTAAATATACAATGTTCTCTATTTTTTAAATAAACTGTACATAAATTATGCACAATTATATCTTTATTTCTATCATCTTCTGAGTCAATGTTATTTGTTTATTTTGGCTTATTTACCATTTCGGGTAAGGTTTCAGAATTACTATGACGCAAACACGTGCTTAATTGTTTTCATTTTCTTCTTTCTGAGGCTCTCTTCCTTAATTACCACAACGTAGTTGTACAGTTTAAAACATGCTAATTATTTTAGAATTTTTTTAAAGTTAAAAATTACCTTTTTTATATTTTCCTTAAAAAAATTCAAGCAATTATTGCTTAAGACGATTTCCTGGTATAGTCAACAAACTGTCCACTATAAAACATAGCCAGAAGAACTATAGAGGGCCCTCCTATAGTTGTATTTTATTTTAAAAACGATCCGTGTAATTAAAGGCGAAAGGTTCAAAGTTGAATGTCGGGCAAGGGGCGCAAGTGGTCTGCACGACGAGGAAGGTAGTGGGTTAATCAGCGACAATATAAAAGCACTGTCGCTTTCAATGGTCGCTAGTTCATTGGGTCTACTATAGAGTAAAAGGTGGGTGAACGAACTGTTGTCGGCCATTGTAATCTAACACGCCGAATATTGTGATTTGTGTTCATAACGTGTTATCATAATTGTACTTAGTGATTTTTTTACAAATTTCAAGTAACAGACAAATTATGTTAATATTTTTTTTAATCTATAGTATATTTACGTAAATTAACTTATTATTTTGTTAGTAATAAAACTTTATAACCTTGCTTGTGGCATATTTAAGTTCAAATACTGCGTACACTGAGGCAGTACTAATTTAGATTCAAGTCAAACGTTCGTCGTCCCTCAAGGTAGCTGATGAACAGATTTCTTCGTTTATTATTCGGGACAAGACGCATACGAATAGTATACTCTACATAGTATATTTAATTTGAATTTACTTGTGATTACAGAATTAACTTCAAAATGAAAACTCTGGTGGTGTTAGCTTGCGTGGTATTGTCGGTGTTCGCGGCGGAGAAATATAACTCAAAATATGACAATTTTGATGTCGACACGTTGATTGGTAACGAAAGACTGCTCAAGTCATACATAAACTGTTTCCTAGATAAAGGCAGATGCACAGCTGAGGGCACGGACTTTAAAAGTAAGTACTTTGTTATCAATTTACTAACACAACTACTAGATTTATTAAAAGTTTAGTGTATTAAAAGTTTTAGCAAAAACATTTTTGAACAAGCAAGGAATAAAAAAATCTTTAAATATTTCACAACATTAGATTTTCGATGCTTTAATTCGAGTTGAGGGCTATCTGGTAATATCTTAAGCAACATTTGTAGTGACCATAGTATTGTGTTCATTACAGACAAAATACCTTTTTACCTTTAGTGTAGATACAGCCTAAATAGTTAATATGATTTAAAAGTTCCTTTAAGTTGATAACCTTAAAGTATTATTTTATGTGAGGTAAAACTTAAGTAGGTTGAGTAAACTTGGCAATTCACTTATTTAACTTACGATCACTCTTTACAATTACAAACAAAACAATAACTATGCCTATAACTCTTCTTAATTTAACTTAGTGCCATTTCAATTTAATTTATTAAAAAATTAATAATTTTAAAACGGTTAAAGCTCACGTTTAAAAAATCAATAAATTTTCAATACAAACCATTGAAACAAATATAATTCAACGTATAATCGTATGTTAATCGATCTCTTAAGAAGTAATTTAACATTTACTTTATGAATGTTAAATCTAATCGTCGATTAGAATCCGCTACATTGTCTATGCAGAAAACGTTCCACTTTATAACACAGATTAAGTCAAGCGGAGTATAATTTTTGCATAAAACGGTCGAGGTCAAGGCAACTGTTACCCTACAACTAGACGACACTTATTTGAGGTTATCCACTTCCCATATATGGTAAACGTTTACATAATTGTTAAGTAAAAATAACGTATGTATGTAAAATGTACCTAAAACAACTATTTACGTAACATTTTTGTTTGTTTGTTTTGTTATTGAGTTAATCAAGGATTTACAAACATGGATGTTATTGAAATTTTGTTTTTTACAACATTAGTCACTAGAAAATTGATGGTTTTGCAGATATTTTTATTACTAAAAACTATAATTTTATTTATATTAAGGAAAAAATTGTAACATTCGTATAGACGGGTTTTTATTAAACATATCTGTTTTTATTTGCAGAAGCTCTACCCGAGTCAATTGAGACAAACTGCGGAAAATGCACTGAAAAACAGAAGCTCAACATAAGGAAAGTAATCAAAGCCATACAACAGAAGTACCCCGAGAAATGGGAGGAACTTGTCAAGAAAAACGACCCCAGCGGCAAACACCGCGCGAATTTCGATAAATTCATCCAGGGCAGCTAAACTTATTCATTTCAAATTTAATCTAAGTTATTCACTAAGTTAAAATAAGTTTTATTCCTATGAAAAGTATTGTTACCAATTTGTTAAAATACTCAATCTTTATTGTCACGCAATTTTAAACTTTAAATAATGAGATTATAGGAACTAGAAAACTCGAATAATATTTTAAGCCACAAAAATGCTCTCTTATGTTATTTCAAAAACAATTTTTTAAGCTTAAAACATATTATTATTTATTACGAAGATGAAAAGTTAGACTGAAAATAATAAACAATTGTATAAAATGTATTGTTTTTTATCGATCCAAGCACCCCTGGCCGAATTAGGTGAACGGCTGGCATTTAGGCGTTGAGCAAGTTTGCGAGCCGGTCGGTTGCATGTGTGTTTGTGTGTCAATCGCAGCGGGCCGCTTGCGCCAGCTCGCAGCACCTCTGACGTAAGACAGACATCGTTGTATAACTATCTTATAACAAGCAACGCAACTATTCCGCATCGTTAGGCTTTACGACACTGAAATTATAGTTAATCTTGACAATATTGTGGACAAACTGGAGTTAAATGTCAAATATCAAAATAAAATCAACTGAATTTTTACTCTTGGGTCATTTTGTCATACTCGGAACCCAGTATATTGTTAAATAATTGCCATGATAGGGGAAACGTGAAGGAAAATATAGTAACGTGTAAACTACACATATCGGCGAAGAAAGTACCTTGTGAATTAGCCCTTTTCTTGGTAGTGTATCTGTAGAGATACATCAATTTTTTTTTCTAAACACTTTGGGTCATCAAGGTTAAGTGCTATGAATATTATTTTGATATTCGAAAAAATAAAATTCTGCCAAGTTAAGGGTAACCAAACCGCACTTTGCAAGTTACATTGAGTATGGCCTCGACACATCTACCTTAGGATAGGTTCTGAGCCCATCAGTGGATCCGAATATGCACTTTCAACTTTTAATTTAATATAACTCTACATTAATCTATCTATATCTATAATCTATACTAATATAATGAAGCGTAAAGAGCAGTAAACACACACTACTTTGTGACGTAGGATGTCAGCAATCAGCATATTTCTGAATAATTCTTTCTTTAATAAAAAAACCCTACACTTACGACACACTTAGGCCATATATTTTTACACTTCTAAACTTATGGGTTAAGTAAATTGGAATAAACCTCCTTGTGAGAAAGGGACTATAAACTATAAGCTGCCAACATTAAAGAAGCAAGGTTATTATGGCAACGGTAACTTAGACATTTACAATTGAGAATTTGACAAATGTAAATAATAAAATGTTTTTTTTTTATAATATCATGCGGATGAAGCCGCACGGGAACAGCTGGTTAACAAATAAACCAGAACATTTCATTCACTGAGAAATTTATAACCTAAAGTACACGATCGATTTATGTTACTGTCGAAATAAAAGTCGGGATTTCCATCTGCAATAATATACCCAATGAAACACTAGTTGAATATTAATGAGGGGTATATCCTATTACAAATACTTGTAGGTACAAGTTAGCGATTGCTTGAAATGCTTCAGTTACTGGCATCAGGGCTAACTTTTTTATAAATGAACTAACAACTAACGCTAACAATGTACACTAAATTAAAAACTCGTAAAGTAATAAATACCTATTGATACGTCCCCGCTTCGTACAGGTGGACATTTAATTTTGAAATACGTTATAACAATATTAAATTTAGCCTTTGTTACTTAGTGAAATTATTGTCTAATGGTAAAAGATTTATTAAATCAATCTCAGCTGTTTTTGAGTTAATACGTTACATAAATATACATTCTTGTCTCATTCCATTTTTATTATGTTCTGTGTTTGACTCTACTTCGGAATTAGTACAATTGATTAAGAAGAAGAAGACATAAGAATTTTCTTATGTCTTATCTATCTATACTTCTATACTAATATAATAAAGCGTAAACACACACTACTTTGTGGCGTAAGATGTCAGCAATCATAGCATATTTTGAATAACACTTTCTTTATTAAAAATCCCTACACTTAAGTTACGATTTAGGTTATATATTTTCACACTGTAAAACTTAGGGGGTAAATAAATTGGACAAAAACTCTAATGTGGGAAAGGGACCATAAACTACAAGCTGCCAACATTAAGGAAGCAAGGTTATTATGGTAAGGGTAATTTTGACATTTGCACTTCACAGAGGAAATGAACCACACAAACAAAGAATGTTTTTAGCACACAATTTTATTAAGTAATGCTCCATTAAGTGATCATAAAATTACACAATACAACATAGCCATAATTCGTTATAGGACAGCGATTAATAATTTATTGCCGTCATTTTTTTAAATTACAGGCAATAAATACTTTGTAATGTCTAAATAATCCATTTACTCTTCAGCAACGAACGCGGCGAAAGCAGTTTCGTATTCTCGTTTAGGATCATATTTCTCCGTGAATTGGATAGCATCATCGGGATATTTCTCGTAAAGTGCTTTAACAATCTTCCTTACGTTTTTCTTTTGCGGTTCGGAACATTTAGCGCATGCTTCTTTAATAACTTCAGGTAGAATTTCTGGAATAAATATGTCGAAAATATGATTAGTTGTTTTGGTACTAAATGAACAAAGATAAGTTAAATAACAGTTTGTAGAAATAGTTATTGACCGATAACTATAAAGTAAATTGAACTTAAATGCTTTCGTTATTTGTATTATAAACTATATTTCACCCGCGACTCCTGTGGAATTAAAAAATCAAAAGGGCGTAGCCTATGTGTTTTTCCAGCCTATCCTCTGTATCTATACCAAATTTCAACGAAATCCGTTCAGCCGTTTAGGCTACAAACTCTAACAAACATCCATCCATCTAAACTTTCGCATTTATAATATTAGTATGTTTAAGTGCCACAATATCTGTAAATGTTTTAAAGTAATTTAGTATTTATCTGGTTAACACTGTTTACATGTATTCAATATGCTGATGAGATCAGACGTGATTTTCTTAACAGACCATCTGATTGACATACTAATCGGTTATTTATTTTAATTTTTGTAGGAAGCCAACGTATCACATGTTATTGTAGTTATGACTCACATACATGAATAACAGGCATGTAATAGAATCTCTTCCTCAGTTTCCTAGAGCCGATGAAGAAAGTTTGATGTGATCAAATTTCAGGAATACGTTTCTCTCGTAACATTATACGTCCTGTTATTACGTTATTATTAACTAAGGCACATATTTTCATATTTTACAATAATGCACAAAATGATATGTTTTAAATTATTCTGTTAATATTACAACGATCTTGCACACTAAGTTTTTTTTTTTTTAAATTAGACTATACAAAACAAATATTGCTTCAATTTTATTATACGTAACGGATGAGAAACTTGCATTGAAAAAAAAACGTGGAATACCATTTTGTATTTGAATTAGCAATGAATATTTGTTATATCTATAGTTTAGTTTCCATTTGGAAAAGAATACAAACTTTTAAATTCCTCAGAGAATTCAGCGGTGCATGGTTTTCTGTCGAGGAAGCAATCTATGTAAGATCTGAACAAGGTGTCGTCGGCAAGCACTTTGTTTGCATCAACTCTGTCATAAGCAGCGTCATAGCTCAGCGCGGTGGGAATCAGCAACGCGAGGATAAGGCTTAGGAACACCATTGTTCTAGAAAAGAAATATATGAAATTATGACTTAATAATACACTTTTTAAACATTGTGCTATAGCTACTAAGAAGTATGTACAGTCGCGTACGTTCGCGGTATCAGTTATAGAAAAAAATATTAGGGTTACTAGCGATGTTTTAAATTGATTATATATTTATTTTACCTGCACTGTACTCCTGATGATTTTTGAACCTCGGTCACTGATATGTATTTTATTTTGAAATGTTAACCATTTTATAGTAAAGATGAGGGGAAATAAACAATTTTCATAATTCCTAAAATAAGTTAATGAATAATTTTGTCTGTGGACATTACAATTGTATCGTCTAGATTTTTATCAAATGATATGTTGTTCGATACTGCAGCGACCTTCAATATCATTGTTAGACGAATCATTTGATTGTACGATAAGGGATATTTACCAAATTTATATAAAATTTATTTAAAAGTGTAGTCATTACCAATTTTATAATACCTTGTATAATAAATACTAATTATATTAAGAGAGGCTAGTTTGACAAGGGAAAATACCACGACCTCGTTGAACCTTGATAGTTGCCTGCTACTGCCACTGACGGTATATGTTTTTGCCTAAATTTAAGACTGTTGCCTACAATTTCAAAGCTTAATATTCATAAGCTAAAGATACATGGTTGTATAGATCTATGGAACATCCATAATGGAAGTAATAAAGATGACGATTTATAAGTACACAATGACAAGTAATGATGTGAATGGCCTCCGTTTCCGTATTATCTGCGGAAGTTCCGCGATGTGTCCACTTCCGTTAATGTATCGTTTCCCAAGCATAAAGACAGTTTTATCGAACTGCTTTATACCGCTTTTTATTTTGGATACATATAGCTTTACTTATACATATGTGATACCTTGCGATTATTGTATCGAATTGAACAAACCTCATTAATTGATAATGCAATGTTGTAAAAGTAAAAACATGCCAAAAATATTTCAACAGGAGCTGGAAAAATAAACATTGCAGTAAAAGTTGCTGCAGGCGCTATGATATGATAAAAATAAGCAAAGGAGACACCATAGCTGATATGCCGATGTATTGATACATATATTTATTCGTTGTATCGTGTATACGTTGATTCTGTCAACATATCTGATGACAGCAAAACAAAGAACGAAGAAGAAAAGGTTCAAAAATGTTTTTAAAGGTTTGGAATTAATAAGCAGTTTCTTTAAGAAGTTTGTCATTTGATTTTTCTAATTAGAACACATATTAATTAAATTAACATTCAGAAAATTATAGATATTTACATGTGTGATGCTTAATAATAAAATAAATATTTAAACTATCCTGCTGGACCACTTGAATCACAGAAATATCAAGTCGATAGAAACTACAAAGTCCTTGCCAACATAAACCGGAATACGAGATGCATATTGAATACAAATTAACTACTAAGTAAACAGATAAATATGAAACAGTAGTGAATATGTAAATAGATTTTCTTAGAACTAGAAATCTCTGTTTTAGGTTAATTCTGTTGGAGTTTTTATATGTTTGTATACTGGCAGGCAACACTGTACACATTAAGGATGTTTTTTTAATATTAGAATAATGTATAATTTAAATTATTAAGGGTGAGTTGCATCAAATCGCCGGTTATCGTAAAAGTTATAATAGGGTTACAAGTGCAAAAACATATTCTCACAGAGGTTTTATGTGTTTTTCGTTTTTACAATGGAAACATTTAAACCTGAATGTCACTAAAGTGTCAAGTTGGTGTCAAGAATGACATTTACGTAAATTAAAATGTTTGGAAATTCATGTTTCGCCGATTATATTTATGTATCATACGCATGGTATTTTATAGTGAAATAAACTTTTTGCCCACGAAGATGGAGAAAATGGCAAACTCTTGTGAAAATAAACTAGTTTGGGCCATTATTGAAACTGTATTTACTTTACTACTCAAATATGTAGCAAAAATGAAGCAATAAAATTATACAAATATAAATGCATCTTATTTATTTTCCATATTATAAATTGACCTTTTATGGAGGACATTTTTTTAAATAAGAGAAAAGGGACAAGCGCTGTTGCTATGGCCTTAGACACTCGAAATTTGTCCAAACTGAATGTTTGGCCAAATTTCGAGTTCCATCTTGGAAATCCATTATTTCCGAGCACGCAAGACTTTATTCTTCTGGATTACGTATAGGATAATAGTAGATATTTTCTTTTTCCAATACTTTTTCCATTATTTGTGCTTTTGAAGATAAGAGCTTGTGACAGTTGACACTACCGAACTGACACTAACCGTAACGCTAACTATAACCGCCCAAAATCGGGCGGTTATGATTAGTGTCTAATATGACGTCATTTTGACCAGCGCAAAACTGGTGTAGCGAATATCATGAACATCCGAAGACGTAACCATCGGGAATGTGCTGGTTAAGGTTTATAGTTAGTTAATGTAACTCATCCTTAGTAAATTTTAAGATTATTCCCAATATTACCATTTCAAATAATTTTAACTTTAACGGTAACCGGCGATATGGTGCAACTCACCCTAAGAATTCTACATTTGCTGAAATATAGTTAGACTTCACATCTCGACACGGAACAAGTAACATTGAAGGACTAATAAAACATTGTATAAAATATGGTTCAGATATTTTAAATATAATGATGATTAACTAGAAGAAAGTGTTTCAATAGCCCCACACCTCCAGAGCCCCGGACGGGGGAAAGTAACCGTCCAACGGGTTATGGGCCCAGGATATTTGAAGTTTTAAAATTTATTAATTTTTACGAAGAATTTGAAACAAGAAAATAACCATAGCAACCAGATTGTTGATTAAAAATATGCATGGCAACCAAGATGGATTCAGCAAATATTTGAAGAATGAAGAAAGTATAGAAAATAGATAAAAGTTCGAGAAGGAGATATGGAAGGAAAAGTTGTACCAGAGTTTATGAAGTTCGAGAAGGTGAAGAGAAGATGGTACCAGGGAGAGATTATTGAGAGGGAGAGAGTAAAGGAAATGAAAGTCGAGAAGAAATAGGAAGAATTGTCAGTTTTGAAGAAATAGATACTGGAAAAGAAAAAAAAATGAAACAATTGAAGCTGAAACAAATGACAGAAATGCCAATGAAGCATGAAAATCTGGTGGAAAATTTAAGAAGAATATTGATGAGAGGATTAGTTTAAAAGAATAGAATTAATGAAGAAATTGTGGGAAACACAAGAAATTCGGAAAATAAACATTGATTTGGATATAGGTGAATACTACAAAAATAATGTAGCAAATGTAGTACGAAAGGACATACATGTATGAAAATTGTATATAACATATACATAATCAGGTGAGTTCAAGTGTACGAAACAGATATTTCAAAAATTAAGGGGGTGTTTTCATTTGAAAATAAATAATTAAGGGGGTGATTGTAACATAATTATTTATTTTTCATTAGACGAAGTTGTAAGTTGTGAAGTATTGAAATCTTTAGAAAAAAAAAAAATTTACAGTTGTTTTGGAAATTTTCTTATGTCTCTTTAGTAGTTTTTCCTTTGTGTTTTGTTGGTTTATTTAATAGTTTTGTTTTATTTTAGTTTTATTATAAAAGTATTATATTGTGTTTAGTTCAAGAAATAAGATCACAAAATTTAGGGATGAAGGGGGAAATGTTTAAATTTTTATTATTGGTAGTGAAAAAATTTATTATTTAGTTGAGAAGTATAAGGATGAGGTATATTGTTATAT